ATGTTGGCAGAGAAGATGGGGTGTTGTCAAGTCTGGGTAAGAAATGCTCTTTTATTTTCAACCAACATGTCTGTCAATCAAGAGAATGTGGAGGGAGATTTGCAGAGGAGGGAGATAGTCCCTTAATTCTGTTTAGCTCACTTGCTGTGCTGACTTTACTGTCCCATCTTCTCCACCGATACCTCTTGTCAGGGAAGACGGCAAGAGAAGCTCTTGCAATGTAAAGCTCCTTTATCCCTGGTAAATGATGTGCCACCACCCAAAAAATTGAATTATTGAATTTGACAAACAAGAACTGCAGGCGTCCAGTCTTGATTCATTGGTAAAAGGGTGTCCCAATAAGGCTCACTGGACTTGAATGTGTGATACAATGGTTACAAGATCTTAAACCTCTTCATTTAGTACAGTTCAGAAGACAAAATGTCCTGAAATCCTGTATCAAAGCAGACCTCCCAGTTATCCCTTTGCACAGCCATTCAGATATGCTATTCCAGGTGAGGTGTGGTAGCTTCTGAGTGACTGTATTTGGTAATTCTTTGCTTAATAGGCTTGGAAGTAACAAAAAAGAAGAAGAATTTGGGGGCTTGGAGGTGACAGAAAAGATGAGGAATTGGGGGCCCAGACTGCAGGGCACTGCATGCGCCAAAACAGCTTCTGTTTGAGAATTGAATTTGATATAATATAAGTTCACTTTATGTAGCATTGTTATATAAGCATAATAATCTTTAAAATGCCCTGTCGCTGTACCAGAGCCAAGTACCAACTGGGTAGATTGGCAGCCCACTTATCCTGCAGTCCTGTGCAAGGATAGTATTTTTAGATACAGAATATAACATCTTTGCATTTGTAAGTGCATCTCTCATGCATTCTTAAAGCCTTGAAGCGCAGCTTAGCACTCTAACAACGTGCAAGAGAGAGAAACAAGGCATTAAGAGTGCTCCTAGTGGAGCTAATCATCATGTTCTTCCTCATTCTCCTGTTCATATTGTTTTTTGGCCTTAGCTATTTTACAAAGAAACTATCAAAACGTTTTGGCTTTCTGCATCCATTGCAGAGTATTGGAGATGCCCCACCCCCGGCCAATATACACATATACTTGCTTCCATTCTTCTCTTAACCCTACATGCATATTTTCAGTTTTCTTGGCTAGATAGGTCATTGCCACTGCATTCTTTTCAGTGTCGTATGAGGGAGCAATCACTCAGCCAGGGACTATTCCAAAATGAACATAATATTTCTCCATCTGTTATTATCTAAGGCCAGTTTCAGACTATGATGATGAACAATCTCCTGTTTGCTTCATTTTGCTGTTCTTTAATGCTTATATAACAGCTTCATAGCCCTGAATGAAATTCTGTCCCTTACTAATAGGTAGGGGGGATGTTTTTTCTCTCTCAGCAACTGTCTGGGCTGTCAGTCATCACTTGACAAATGCAGACAACTCTGTTGTGAATGAGTTCAAAATGTGCTCCAATGAATGACTTCTCATGCATCAAGCATCCCTTATTATTGTTTTTTAGGTTTGCGGGGTTTATGAGGATATTGCAGTGGTTTGTCTTATAGGTCTATTCTTAAGTGCAATAAAGGGGCTGCACACAATCTCTGCTACTAAATAAGTGGCCCAGAAACCTTGTGGTCACAAATTTGTTGTGAGAATTGGCCCTCAGTTCTATAACTATAGGATTCAATCCGCCACAAGTGAGCATTGGATTTGTATGCACATAAGCACTGAAATCCTCAAGGAAAGCTAATTCATCCTGAAACATTTAGTGCGATAGGTTTACATTTAGTGCAATAGGTTAGTGTCAGTAAATGGATTTGCGGCTCAGTAGATCCCAATATATATATATCATTTAGGGTTGTATATAGTCTTGATAGCATATGGATTTTTAAAATTACAATTTGGGGTGATTATAGTAAGGTTATGTCACGCCTCACTATATGTTGTTTAAGAGCCAAACTTGGAGTGGATTTAGACCAAGATAGTTGGAGACTGGACAACCATCTCTTGCTTCTCTTGCAGATGTTCTCCCTCTGGAGTTTGAGCAAGGGGTTAAACCAAATGGCTTACAGGGTTTCCTCCAATTCTATGCCTGTATGGAATATTCCTCATTACATTGCATAGAACAGATACAGTGACTTACTGCTCATGGTCTTTCAGAAGAGACAGCTCTCACTATAAATGATTGTTTATTTCCACTTGGTACATTCAAAATAGGCTTTAGTGGGTTTGTCAACTGAATACAATTTAGAGCATTCTAAAGTCTGTGTTTCACTGATGATGCTGCCCGGGAAGAGCACTAAAGGATCAAAGTGGTGCATCATCAGGTGTATAAAATCTCTTGTGCATCATTAGCTGTATAAAACAATTTTATGTTTTGGGTTCTGTCATAATAGCATGACCTGTTAAAATTTAAAGCAAAACATCCTTAATCCTCCCTGCTGCTTGTTCCTCTTTAAAGAAAAGCAATTGCATTTTTTGTGTTAAACTGTGTAAAAAGGGCTCCTTAATATTTAAAACATTCATTTTTAGCTGTTCCGTGAGCATGTGGCATCCTCTTGCTTGAGAGTTCTAAGATGCATCCCAAACCTGTACACTGACTTCAGTGAAATTATTTATGGGAAATAGACAGCAATTCAGGACATCCATCTCCTGACAGTTTTTAATTTCAGAATAAAATATTTGAGGGAATATGTAAGGCTACAAGTATGGAATGTTGTGTAGCAAGTAATCCAATATAGCTTTTGCTCCTTGTTTTAGTTTTATGCCTACCCTGTGTGCCTAGATAAGACCTGAGCTGTGCACTTTATGCTGAGCATCTAAAAACAGTGTGCTTTACTTGTTTTGATACGCTGAAAGCACAATGGCAGCTCTGTGTGGTTCCCCTGCAAAAAGGCAGCCGTTGCTTATTGCTGAGCAAAGGGAAATGGAAGATGCTGTCTTCCTGAGCAGAGAGAGCATCGCAAGGTACCTGCAGAGGGCGCTGTAGAAGTGTGTGGCTACTAATTAGCTAGCACGACCTCACACAGGCATGGGCCTGTACATCAACAGTCTGTGCCAGGCACCGCTATCTGCTCAGCGGCAAAGTGTTTCTATATCTCTGTAAAGGTTGCTGAAACCATCCAGAGCAGATTTTGGGGGCGCATGGGGGTGGGCGCTGGAGGGGGAAAGGAGAGGTCGGGTAAATCCCATTGTGCAAGTAGAATGCCACAATTCAATATGGTAGACTTTTTAGTGCAAGGTGCTTTTACTAAAGTATCTCTGAAATAGGAACATTTCTAAAATACCTAAGTCCATTTCAGAAAATCATTTGCTCCATTGCCCAAATGAAGGAAGCACTTCTTCGTAGCAGAGACAGTTCTGAATACCACACATTCCCCCTTGATTCATACTGGTTTAGATACCACCACAGTAAATGTGGAAATGAATGGTTTGATTAAGATTGTAGGAAGCTGAATAGATGGATGGGGAAAACGCTTAGGTCCTGTTGTAATAGGTTGCCAATGGGATTTCCATACTTTTTGAAGTACAGTTTATTTAATCTGCAATTACACTGCTTGCTGCTGGTTTATTAGGTTTGCCTTAGAATGCTTTGCAGTTCTTTGCTTTATATAAAATATAAATGCAAGTTGAATATGCCCTGGAAATCCCGTGCTTCATGGTCTGTTGAATCATTACATAAGCTTTTCCTTACCTTGTTAATTATTTTTAAAACACAGCTTTCTATTGCACTTACCAAAAATGTGTTCCAGGAGATGTGATTTATTGCTTAAGCCACAAAATTTGTTCTTCATCCAAGATAAAACAAAAGCATTGATATGGAGCACAATAAGGGTTGTGGTTGTCAGTGTGAGGTCTGTGCTCAGAAACATTGTCAACACATTCCAAGAAAAGTGCCTGAATGTAGGCACTAATTAATTCATCTGTGAAACTCTCTGGAATTAAAGCTACATTCTGAAGGAGCTTTCTAATTGAGAGTAAATGCCTCATTAGTGCTGAGCATTTCAACCTGAGAACATCAGAAAAGTCAAACAGAATAATTAATAGCATTTGGGTAATGGAATAAACTAGTTACAGATGTGCATCCAGCAGTTGAGGCGATTAGATTTTAGAGTTAACCGGTCCTAAAGCAGTGGGGGTAAGTAGTCATGAATTTTTACAAAAAAAATATGAAAATATGCTATACTGAGAAAGGACAGCAGTAATTAATCAGTTACAGCTGCAGTTGTCTGTCTGCTTACTTTAGATTAAATCTGTGATTTTTGTTTTATTTTCTTTGAGTAGACATGTATAGGATTGTACTGTAAATGTGATAAAAGGAATTGCAAAGGCTTTTTGATGTGGCATCTCTAAAATACTTGGGTTGGGGGGAAAATATAGGCCCAAACAATCACCATGTTCTCTTTGTTGTAACAGTAACACTTGGTCATTATGATGTTGCCAATATTACAAAACAATTACAAAATGGTGGCTAAAATTCTGATCAGTAGGTGAATTACTTTTCACTTAGCAAACGTGGGAAAAATTAAATATAATGTTGAATGGAAATGTCCAAGCCCTTATTAATTATATCTATTTGTGTATATCTCTGTGCCAGAATCTGAGGGCTATGCAGATGAGAAGATAAAAACAGACTTGTTTTTAAATCACTACTATTTGATGATATGAGGCAAAGTAAACAGGGAACAGTCTGTGATACAACTGGGACAGAGGGAAACCTGATATTTAGCTCCGAGTTCAGTGCTGCCCCTGAGTGTAACAAGTCAAAATTAGGAGTGCCCAACAGTAAGCTGATGTGTAGCAAAAAACAAAGCGGGTACACTCAGAAGTCCTATTGAGTTCAATGGGAAATATATCTCAGTAGCTGGGTTTAGGATTGTACACTTAGTCTCACTGTCAAAGTTTGGCCCATGATTTTTTTTAAAAATTGCACTACAACTATTGTCTGATGATGAAATACTAAAAATACAGGACAACCCTTATGGGTATCATTTGCAGAGGGCCATAGCTTAGTGATAGAGCATCTACTCACATACAGAAGCTCCCAGGTTCAATCCATGGCATCTTCAGGTAGGGCCAGGTGTGTCCCCTACCTGAAACCCTGAAAAGCCACCATCAGTCATCTAGACAGTGCTGAACTAGATGGGCAAATGGTCCAGGATTACACAGCTTCCTGTGCTCCTAACCCTAGTGGTTATACGTGTGTCATACATGTGAAGAGGGCTCCAAATGGAAGAAAAACAGGGCCATGTTACTGGCATCCATAGGCCTAATGCATCTGAGAGTGGAAGTACAACATAGCCATCATGGCAAAGAGCCATTGATGGCCTTATCCTCCCTGAACCTGTCTAACCATCTTTTAAAGTCAACCAAACCGGTGACCAAATTCAGCAGCTGAACTGTGTGGTGTATGCAGAAGTCCTTCCTTTCGTCTGTCTTCCAACACTCGGTTTCATTGCATGACCTTGAGTACTGGTAGTCACTGAAGACTGATTAATGTGCTTCCTTTGGGGGGGTGATAAAAGCCAATTTGGCATAGTAGATTGCGAAATTTCTCTTCATCCAAGTTATTTTGATGCTATAGTTACTTAACTAATAGCTATTTAAAACCCAGCCATATTAACACCCACATTACTGTTTTGTTCTTTGAAAAACATGCACAGTACTGGCAATGTGACTGTTACATAAAATCTCTGTGGAGGCTTTGCAGTTGTAGCATGTTAATGAATTAATTCAACATGGAACAGATAAGAATTTATTGTGTGCCATATCAAGTGGTGTTTCCAGCTGTCAGAGTTTTTAAGTTCATTTGGGATTTCATTTGATATTTTTAATTTATCATGTTGCCAGTCTCAAGGTGTGTTTTTTGTAAAGTAAGAAATTATTGTTAATTGTCAGTGGTTCAAGACTCTGAGAGATCATAGTGCCTTAATTTGCACTTTTACTGTAAATATTCTGACTTCTTGCACATACTTGTTTAAAAATTGTTGCATTGTGTGATTCATTTCTGACTTCATAAGTTGTGTCATGTTACATCACCTATATCAGGGGTAGCAAACGTTGTCACCTCCAGATCTTAATGGATTATCAACCCCAAGCTTTTTGAAAGTACAGTGGTACCTCGGGTTAAGCACTTAATTTGTTCCGGAGGTCTGTACTTAACCTGAAACTGTTCTTAACCTGAAGCACCACTTTAGCTAATGGGGCCTCCTGCTGCTGCCACGCCGCCGGAGCACAATTTCTGTTCTCATCCTGAAGCAAAGTTTTTAACCTGAAGCACTATTTCTGGGTTAGCGGAGTCTGTAACCTGAAGCATATGTAACCTGAAGCGTATGTAACCCGAGGTACCACTGTACACAGTGTCAACTGAATCACTGCTATCTATATGCTTGTTGACACTCTCAAAGAATAAGATAGTGAGATAGGACTTATTCTTAAAAAAGCCATGTTGGGTCAGCCTCAGCAAGACTTGTTCCTCTATATGTTTGCTAATTTGTCAATGCATTCCACCAGCTTTCCCAGAACAAGCATCAAGCTAACAAGGCTGTAGTTTCCAGGATCCCCCCAGAATCCCTTTGTAAAAATTGATGCTGTCTTGGCCACTTCCCAGTTCTCAGGTACCAAGGCTGATCTTAGGAAGAAGTTGTATATTTTTGTTAGCAGAGACGAACTCTTAGCTAAATGCCATCTGGACCTGTTACTCCTACCACAGCAGTAGGAAGTTATGATACATTCTTATCTAAATGTGTTAATTCAGCTGAGGAAATAAGGTATCATTAAAGAGCTAAGAGCCATTCAAACCAGGGGTCAGCAAACTTTTTCAGTAGGGGCTGGTCCACTGTCCCTCACACCTTGTGGGGGGCCAGACTATATTTTTTGGGGAAAATGAACAAATTCCTATGCCCCACAAATAACCCAGAGATGCATTTTAAATAAAAGCACACATTCTGCTCATGTAAAAACACCAGGCAGTCCCCTCAAATAACCCAGAGATGCATTTTAAATAAAAGGACATATTCTACTCATGTAAAAACATGCTGATTCCTGGACCAACCACAGGCCAGATTTAGAAGGTGATTGGGCCGCATCCGGCCCCCGGGCCTTAGTTTGCCTACCCAACCATCGCCGGGATGGTTTTCATTTTGTGTATGTGCATGTAAGAGAGAAATGCTTAAGTCATTTGGAATGGGCGACTCAATTAAGAGTATTTATTTTTAGATATACCCCTTTCATTATTAAATTCCAAGGTTGTTTACAATATACAGTCGTACCTTGGAAGTCGAACGGAATCCGTTCCGGAAGTCCTTTCGACATCCAAAACATTTGAAAATCAAAGTGTGGCTTCTGATTGGCTGCAAGAAGCTTCTGCAGCCAATCAGAAGCCCCGTCAGATGTTCGGCTTCCAAAAATAGTTCGCAAACCAGAACAGTCACTTCTGGGGTTGCGACGTTTGGGAGTCCAACCGTTCAAGAACTAAGCTGTTCAAAAACCAAGGTACGACTGTAAATTAAAACAAAATATATTTAAAGGTAGATGTGTTAAACAGTATATATTAAAACACAGTAATGTGAAAATATCAGTACAGTAAAACACAACAGAATACACACACACTCCCTGAAGGTTAGATTTTAAAGTCTGTGCATACTTGACAAAAAAGGTATTCAACTGACCCCAAAACTCAATTAAGATTGGTGCCTTATAACATTGAAACTTATAACAAGAAGTCTGCAAATGTTGGCATGCATGTTAAATATGTGCAACATCTACATCTCCTTGTAAAAATAATGCAGCCTGTGAAAATACAAGGAGTATTTTCAATGTAGGAATTCTGTGTTCAGAATGCATGTGATACCACTGCTTACTTTTAAAGAAAACAGTAGGCTTTTGTTTGAATTAAACCATTGAAATAAATTATGTCCTTAGGGAACTAAAGTGTTCCTTTGTTTTATCTGTATCATATGATTAGGTGTGTATGATAGTATGCTCTTTAATATTAAGCAGATGCTTGGTTTACAAAATAACTAAAGGAATATATATATATACTTTCATTTTTCTTCTTGTCTCCTGCTTGAATTTCCTTTTCTGTCACTTGATTTAATCATGGTGATAGTTATGCCCGCCTCACCACTGACTAAAGAAAACCCTGGCTTTCCTCATAACTAATGTTTGATTATCCATTTAAACACTGGTTTCAAAATCTAGTTACAGAGCATTCTTACTTAGCACTTAGCATAGCTTGGGCCATGAAGATTTAACTTGTCTGAGAAGTTAGGGAGCATGCAAATTCATGTCATATTGCCAGTCTAATCAAGGTTAGCACGTTGGGAACATTACACCTACACGAACCTACTGATGCTGTTTTCCATAAAATCTTACATTTCACAAAGTAAAAGTTTGTTGGGAAAGCTCATAGTCTCATTAACACTATAGAATTCATACCATAGAAGTGAAACGGTACATAGGTAGATACTTTGCTGGCCACTGGAATTTCTTGGTGTCACCTCTCCATTCTATCATAAAGACCTTCTGCCACCCTTCATTGTCTGTTAATATACAATGGTACCTCTGTTTAAGAACAGCCCTGTTTACGAACGATTCAGTTTACGAACTTCTCAAAACCGGAAGTAGCGTCCCAGTTTGTGAACTTACCTCGGTCTACGAACAGAAGCCGAATGGTGGAAGGGCACCAGTGGCGGGAGGCCTCATTAGGGAAAGCACGCCTCGGTTTAAGAACGGTTTCGGTTTAAGAACAGACTTCTGGAACGGAGCAAGTTCGTAAACTGAGGTACCACTGTAAAAGTAGAAGGCTGATGAGTACTAGGGTACCCATGTAAGCTACACCTGATGAAATTCTCTCTTCTGTACAGCTCTTAAAGATGCAAGAGCTTAGTCCTCTTTGTATCTATCCATCTTAATAAATACCTTGCACATGTGTGTGCATATATGTATGTGTGCATATGTGTATATATCTGTATCTATCTATCTATCTATCATCTATATATATATACATACAGCACTTTTTCTGAGGGGACGCAGGGGCACGCATACCCCTAAATATTTTGTGAATCTTTGTACTTTTGTCCATTTACTGTATTTCTGCTGATTTGAACTATAAAACGGTGATTTTCTTGAGTCAAAATGAGAGTACCCCTAAACAATTTTTTTTAGAAAAAAGCTGTGTGTGTGTGAGAGAGAGAGAGAATTCCTAGCTTTTCTTGAAAATGGTACCTTTCCATTCACTTTATTTCCTTGCATTCTCTTGCTGCCTTCCCTTAAAGCCCACTGCAGTGTACAGTAATAAGCAATAACCCCATAATGACTTGGGAAATGTTTTCTTAGGGCACCGTTGAACACTTAATTCTGATTCATCTTCTTGTTGTTTCAAACTGACAACATAAGAGTAATGGTAAATATTGCTCTGCTTTGTATGGTTATAGTCCACTAAAGGTAGCAAAAATTGTACTAATTACATCCCGAAAGGTTTCTCTGCCTTGTTTTATGGCTCTTACAAACATTAAAGCTATTGATGTTTGCTTAATTAATACTGAAGGGTACCCTTAAATCCTTTGTCATTTTGCTTTTACATTTCAGTTCGATTTATCCCAAGGCTTCTCAGTAAGGTTGATACTAAGCTTAAAATGTGTCCTTATATTGCATATCCACACAACAATTTATAATAAATAGGAAAGAGCTTTATTATGTATATGCACCACATTTTTGCCCTATTTAACGGAGGCCTTCAAAGCAACTAAAATAATTTAACAATAAAACAAAATAAAAATCAAAGTGCAAGGATCAGTATGAAAAGCAATACACAAAACAGTAAATTTGTCTATACCAGTGGTATCTCAAGTTACAAATGCCTCAGGTTACAAATGCTTCAGGTTACAAACTCCGCTAACCTGGAAGAGTTACCTCGAGTTGAGAACTTTGCCCCAGGATGAGAACGGAAATCGTGAGAGGCCCCATTAGTGAAAGCATGCCTCTAGTTAAGAACAATTTCAGGTTAAGAACGGACCTCCGGAACAAATTAAGCTCATAACTAGAGGTACCACTGTATAAGACAGGC